CCCCCAATTTTTAATTATTATGCTGCACACTTTTTTTTTCCCACAAGGAACTGATTTTGTGTCCGAAGGGGTTTTCAAAGCAAAAAAAAAAAAAAAAAAAAATTGTTCTCAACTGGGTCCCCCTGCATTTCTTTTTGTCTGTTTATTACACACAATTTCCCTCTTCTAGGTCAGTGTATATCAGATATGAAGATGTCAGGACCATATAGCTCATCATCACTTACACAGGGTCAGTTTTAATGACGTGCTAACATTCCTGAATTTTCCCTTCCTGAGACAGTTGTAGAAATAACTCAGTGTAAAATAAACTTCAACATTTGTTTATGCATATGGTGTGGCTGAAGTAAGATATCCCCTAAGCTCTCACAATTTTCAGAGTGCATTCAATGGCAGATTCTCAAGTAATTTTGCATGTCTTTATTACACATAAAGTCTTTGTTTTAATTACTTGAAGAAGTTTGATAAAAAGGAGGCAATACATGGCTGATTTCATAGTAAAATTTTAAAGCATTGTTTTCTTAAAGCAAGGTATATCTTTTTACACACTTATTGAAATTATAAAACATCGAGCTTTCAGATTTTCCCACTGCCTGCCGGCATTCACCACTTAATACACAACTCACAGTCCCCTAGCCTAACAGCCAACCCTGCAGTTTCAAGATGCAGGCAGTTTCCTAGGCAACCGACACTTAGCCAATGAATGAGGAATTGCAAGAGACTGGGAACCCATCATTATTTCCTATATTACTCTTCTCAGTGCTCTCCAGCTAGAAAGATTGGAAAGCTACCAATCCTAACATTTAAGAAAAGGAGTCAAATGGTCAGAGGATTGGGACTAGGGAGTTCTCAGCCTTATAATATGACTGGGAGTGGAGGGGAGGGGGGCGGTTCCTGGGACCCACAGAGCCTTGTGCTTTCTCAGCTTTGTCATTCTCCTGTTTGTATCCCACTCTTCCCCGTTTCATCCCTGGCTTTCCCTTGCCCACATGAGAAGCCAGCTGCCTAGGTGGGAACCTCAGACCCCTGTCTTCCTGCAGTCTAGGGGCTCAGTGGGGACCAGTAGTCCAGCTAACAAGAGACTAGAATGAGCAAAGAAAATTCCAAGAAAGCAGTTCAGTGCGGGCACATTTACTTTTGTTCCTCAGTAAGACAGGCAGTTTTCACTTTGCTGGATTTCGAATTTGGGTTTAAATGGCCTGAATCCAGACTGGGATTGCCGAGCTTTCACGGAAGAGATTTGCCTTCTTTGTGCAGAGGGAGTTGAGCCCTGGCTTTCCTGGGCACTGTTTCCCTTCTATAAGCGGCCTCTCCACCCCCACACTATCAGTGATTTGTGAGCTCCTTAGGCTGGGGGAGGGCAAGCCAGAGAATGCTTGCCTCTGTAAATCCTGGGTAAATGGCATTTTATGATACAGGGCCAGGTTGTGTAGAAAACAAACAGAAGAGTAGAAAGTATTCTTAAATGAAACATTATAAAATACTACAATTGACAGGGTTCCTTTGCAAAGCGCAGTCCCTGAAATCAACACGCTTACAAATAAATCCCTTCTGAAATGAATGAGTGTACACAGGAAGCTATGCTGGGGGAGCCATTTTCAGTTCCAGCAGCAGATTGCTGCAGGAGTAATGTGCTGGCAGGATTGCCCCTCCACAGTTCAGGTTGTTTCACCAGCAACCGCTACTCTTGAAGGTCTCAGCAGCTCTCCATTTCTCTTCTAAATCTGCCCTAGACCTTCGTTTGGCATTTAAATAAAATTAAAACATGCATATTCAGATAGATACACACAGATTCATATAGTAATAGTATTTGCCTCTTAGATTTAGATGTCTAGTGGGTATTAATTATGTTTTCAAAGCAGAAACAGGTCAGCTTCTGAACAGGAATTCTTGACTTGGCATGCCCAGCCTACTTTTTAAAATTTAT